GGACAAGAAGTCTCCTAACAATGTTTCTCGCAGCCTAAGGAGCTCCCAGTCACCAATCTGAGCTCCGGCTGCGTGGCAGGATTTCAGTTGCCGGAGGATAACAAGCAGAACAATTTACAGTCTCTCTGTCATGGTATTACCCCGATGGCTTATGCTAGAAACAGGCCAGCCATTTGTGAACACGAAAGGAAGGGAAGAGGACGACTGGTAAAGGCGGCCGCCCTTAAACTGATTGTGATGCCGCATCAGATACTTTAATTAACCCGAAATGTATTTCTAAAGCGGATGTAATAAATGAACCTGCAGGTGGTGATCGCTTCTGCGCCCACCACTCAAATAATCAATATAATATCTCACAATATAAAGCGTCGTCTTCCTTACGCCCATTCATTCAACAATGTAGAAATGCGTTGCTTTATACCCGTCATTATCCTGGAGAAATGGAGAATTGATTCCTCTTTTTCCTTTTAAAACCTCTTTCCTCCACTTTAAAGAATCACCACCGAATGTTGGTTTCCAGGCTTCACATGAATCTACACGAGTGCTGAAGTGCAAAAGGGAAATATTTACTGCTGAGTAAGATTTTTTTTTTTCAGTTTCTCAGTTGCTTTTGACATATGCACGGAACAGGGTCCGACTCTAAGCAGGTCCAGAACTCTACTTTGTAATTGTAAATGACAGAAGAACAGGCAGTTAGTCAAATTATCAAAAATATTATTCATTAAAAGTAAAAACCCTGCATTCTCAAATAACGTAAGATGCAAGCATCCTCAGCATACAAATGCACTTTAGTATCAAAAGTAAGAGGACGAATAATTAACTAAATTAATTCTCTGTGAATCGTTTGTTTAGTCATCGACACTAAAACCTACAGCTTGAGTGCGAGGACAGAAATAGTTCTGGGATTTGCAGTCGTTCCCTGTCGGAAGCAATTCAGTGTTTGCATAACAGCTGGCTTGTGAAATTTTAAAAGTCTGTGAATGATGTCACAATTCCTGAAAGTCCAAGGTGATGTCATAAAACGTCTTCAAATATTCATGTTCAGTACGACAAAGGGATGCAGCTGCATCTCGTTACTGCCGAACTAGAACGAGGTAACGTTTGGATTTTTTTGCTTGAAAAGTTAACTGATAATTAAATCAATGTGCAATGTTTTTTTATTTGTTTGTTTATTTTTTTTTTATTGAACTAAATATTTCAGCTCAAGGAAACATTTCACCATCTGAAAGTGCACAAGAAAAAAAATTCTGCTCCAAACAAAACACTTACATCTGCAAAAAAATCATTTCCACAAGTGCTGCTGGCTTTAACATTGTGCTTAAATGCAAATGCATATAATCAGTTATTTTAAATATGTGTGACGCTGCCCAACAGTGGTGGTGATAAATCTTCTCTG